GGGGGTTGGGGTGAGGGGGGGGTGTTATCCTTAAGTAACAGCGGCTTCAAAGGACATCAACTAGTAATCTTTCGTTCTCTACCCTTTTTCATATGTAGCTGTCTACTTGAATGTTACGACTCTCGCTGGCGTGATCAGCAGTCCCGGATATCCAAGATACATGAAACAAGCCCGTTACGAGTGGACTTTCGTACTTCCCGTCATACCACGTGCACGTATGGCTTTGTATTTCGAAAGCATTGATTTGTCTGGCCATCAGTACCTTGGGTAAGAGTAAGTTTTATAAATGATATAGATTATCAGGGTCACCTTTGATGAATAAAGGGACATCAGAATAAAATTCCCTAATGCAACAATTGCATGTTTTAAGGCAATAGTAACTATAATATCATCATCGTCATCACCATCGTCATCATCTTTATCATCATCATCACCATCGTCATCATCATCATCACCATCACCTTCGTCATCATCATCACCATCATCACCACCACCATCGTCATCATCATCATCATCATCATCACCACCATCGTCATCATCATCATCATCATCCCCACCACCATCGTCATCATCTTTATCATCATCATCATCATCACCATCGTCATCATCATCATCATCACCACCATCGTCATCATCATCATCATCACCATCATCATCATCACCATCATCATCATCATCATCATTTGGGAAGAAATTCCAACTCCAATAAAAATGTTACTCCCTTTCAAACCTTTAAAAAGCGAATGAAAATTTATCTCATTCACTCAGAAAAATATATGATAAACAATGTTTAACGAAAAATACACTATCTTGGTCAATGCATTAATTATTCTCTAGATACTCTTTGATAATGGATGGCTGTTGACTCGATAGTTTATACTTTTTCAACAGCCATACACACTAAACTTGATCTCGCTTTGTAAATATTTATTCTGTATTTTTCATAACTGTTTAACTCTATTTTATTATTCCTATATTTTTTTGTATTGTAATTTTTTTGTGTGAAATAAACTTGACTTGACACCATCATCATCGTCATCATCATCTTTATCATCATCATCATCACCATCATCATCGTCATCATCATCTTTCTTTTTTAATCCGGATTTTAATATACTGCAAAAAAATTAATATACCTGTCTGAGAAAAAGAGTAAGAAAGTCATATACGTGAATTAATTTGAGCTCTTTCTGGTTTCTACACAGAAATAGTAATGTCACTCTGCAGGATTTATCTGGACATCAACTCTTCCATCTCAGTAATACCAAAAGCGAGCCACTTTTCCTTATTCAAAATAAGACAACAAAGCTGGTGTATTATTCTTGGTTTACCAGAAGAGGAAAAGGGCTTCGTGTACGTTACTTGTTTTATCGTCCTTTTGACGAAGGTAAGGCAATTCATGATAACAAAATAATAGTATTATTTTATCCTTTAAACTTAACTTTTCTCATATAACAATCTTCAACAAAGAACGGGCCGGAAGTACAAGGTAAGAGGATGGTGAATGTTTAACGTTTCATTTGTTTATTTTACTTATTCATTCACTCACTCACTCACTCACTCACTCACTCACTCACTCACTCACTCACTCTCTCACTCACTCACTCACTCACTCACTCACTCACTCACTCACTCACTCACTCACTCACTCACTCACTCATTCCTTCATTCATACATTCATTCATTTATTTATTGTCTATTTCTACCCTTTTATTACTTTGAGGTTTCTATCTAAATCCAAATTTTATTTATTTGTTCGTTTGTTTGTTTATGTATTTGTTGGTTTCTTCTACTTAAACCTTTCAGCTCTTTTACAAAATGCTTCCATCTTGGCATCAAGTACCAGTCCCCACAGCATCAGTGTATCTATCGGTTCTTTCACTGTTGATGGTTTCAAAGTCCTTGGGTATTTTATCACCTGTAATTCAACAGATGACTGGCATCGTACTGCATCTTACGCTATTGCTGATAATAAAACAAAAACCGCTTCATGTCATCGTCTGGTGGGTTTGGCAAACTACAAGGTACAGGTGTTTGCAGTTGGTACTAACGCTACTGATGGCAGTATGATGATGTACAAGAGCAATCCTAACGAGATAAAAACCTTGGAAGGAGGTAAGACAAGCTTTTATTATTTAAATCTATATATAAAGCTGCTGATAAATGCTGCGAATTTTACTCTCGTTGGCAATACCGTTTTAGATTTCTTTTTTGCCTTCGTTGTCAGTGCGAGAGAAAATTGCAGCGCGGTATTACTGTCACGCTGTTTGTCATTTTGTAAATTGATTTGATGAAGCAAAACTTAAAAATGAGTATGTGGTCAATACGCATTAGTTTTGTTGAATCAGAAAAAATGACCATGTTTCCTGGAGCAAAATGCCATATTGCTAGAGCATGAATACATAAATTTGTTGCAACAGCTTAAACAATTCTCACTTACGAAGTTTAGATTCTGGTAGGATGTTTTTTAGTAATATGAGCAGACCAGCTCAAAAAAATGTGTTGTTTTTCCCCATTTTTAGCTCACCTTATCGTTTTTTTAGTACCGAGTCAAAGTCCATCGGGTTTCCATGTTGTTTCCTCGACTTCAAGCACCATTCACGTGCAGTGGAATCCACTACCACGTGACCATGCTAACGGTATTCTTCTTGGATACAAGGTGGAGTACTGTGATACATTTCATTTGCGCCGCAGCAAGACCATAACCACCAATAACACTCAAGTGGTTCTTGAACATGATCTTCCTGGTATGGTGTATCGCATTACTGTACGTGGATTTACTGGGAAAGGCCAGGGACCATTTTCAACTACTGAGTTATATACAAGTAAGTCGCTCTACATTTATATTCTATTCACTATTGAAAAAAAAAATAGAATGAAGATTAAGTCTAAATAAATAAATAAATGATAATTAATAATGGTGATATTGATATTAGTGATGCAGAGATGAAGATGATGATGATGATGATGGTGATTGGTGATGATGATGATGATGGTGATTGGTGATGATGATGATGATGGTGATTGGTGATGGTGATGATGATGGTGATATTGATATTAGTGATGCAGAGATGAGGAGGATGATGATGATGATGGTGATGATGGTGGTGATGATAGTGATGATGATGGTGATGATG